GGCGTTTTTTCCTTTTTTTTTTTTTTAATGGTTTTTTATCAGCTTCCCACCATTCTGCCGCTGCCGAGGCTCCATGTACTGGTCCCGTGGAGATGTCCTTGGCTTGGGGAGGGCAGTAGCAGACAGTGGGGTTGGAGGGAAGATTTCCCCAGGGCATGGCAGAGAGCTTGGCTGTGATCAGCCGGTGCGTGCAGCCTCGTCGTTATCTCATGGTGTCCAAGAGTTGTGTAGGTCTCGGTTGGTTGGAGGATCTCGGAGCACATTTGTCACTTGCCGTCTGTCATCCTACCCACCTGACCTCCTTGCTCTTGTTTCCCTGGTGGGGTCAGCATCTGCCCATCCTGCCTGCACATCTTACCGAGAGTCAGCTTTGATATGCTTGGGCCTCTTCTGGTTGTTCCTGTCTTTTAAATGGCATTTGGAGACTAACTGTTGCTCTGGAAAGAAAAAAAAGATTGCTTTCTATGGGCAGCCAGGCTGCTGTGTTGAAGGCAAATCCCACGGTTTGCTGTGAAGCTGGGGAGCGAGCTCTCCATTCCACCGGTCTTTGCAGTTCTGCTGTTAATTGAGTCCCATTTTTTGGTGTGTTTTCCCCAGCTGTTGAAAACCCAGGCTGCTTCCATGGCTGTTGCTTGGCTCCCACGGTTTGGTAGTCCCCACAGTGTCTGTGGAAAGCAGCCCTCATCCCGAACGACTGCCGGGTTTCTGATGGTTAACATCCTCCAGCTTCCCCAAAGCTTTGCAGTGACATGCATGATCCAACACAGATGCAAGACTCGCGTGTCAAAACAAAAAAGAAGAAACAGGAATGGTTTTCGCCTCTGGTATTACCTTTCCTGCCATCCCAGTCAGGCATCTGTGGCTGTGGCCACGTTGTACAGATACTGCCTGTTATAAACAAGGTGTTCCTGGGCTGGTGTTCCTGTGTTGCACTGGTCCTTCCCCACCCCAGATTTCCCGGTGTCCCGGGTGTTCCCGTTTGTTAGGATCCAGCTTAGAGCTCCTGCAGCGAATGCCCTGGGTTTTGCTGTACTGTGTGTGACGTGCCCAGGTTGGCTGACAGGCAGCTTTTCTCTTGGGTGATGGGGTCTGAAGTACCTGAACAGGCGGCGGGGATCGTTCGCAAACAGCAGGAGCAGGCTGGCACGTAAGCCATACCTTGCATCTGTGCCTAAAAAGATCGCAGATAAGTAGTGGAGCTGCCTAACTTAAGGAGATTTCAGATTTACTGTACAAAAAAAAGCTTTCAGCAAGATAAAATAAGTATAATGATACTTAATTTTAAATACTGATAGAGTGATATTTTCCCACAGAAAATAAATACAGCCCATATGTATGTATACAATATGAGCTGACAGATTTATTTTTATGCCACTCCAATGGAGGACTAAAACCCTCTTACCTTCCCAAAATAGCATCCTATGGAATGGGACGGCTGTTCAAAAGATCAGAAATACAGCGACCCTTTAAGAAACTTGCAAAGCACCATCCCTCCTGCTGTGTGTCCAGCGCTGGTTTCATGTGAGCTTTCTGTCCTTTTCGTGTCAATAAATGGTTTCGGATCTCAGCCCCTGACATCTCCCTCGCTGGTTGTGTGTCTCTTCCCCGTCTCGAGCGTGTCGGGGTTCGGCCGGCTGCAGTGTTGGAGCCCCGGTCTTGCCACTGGCAACCCAGGACAGCAGCCGCATGCGAGGGAGGCAGGCGGAGGTGGCTGCAAGCTGTGCAGTCGAGGTAGTTAAAAGACCTTCTTCTCTGTGTTTCTCCCCATCAGAGGAAGGCCGAGCCCCTCAAAGGCTCCTACAAAGGAGATTTCTCGGCTTACACCTGCATTTCCTTGTTCCTGTGAGTGCGCTCAGGTCATGCAGTGGAGAGAGCCCAGCCTGGGGACCTCTGTCCTCAGCCTTCAGTGAACAGCTGAGGTTTACAGGGCTGGAGAAGGGGGCAACTTAGCTTCCATGTGAGTTTGGGGTGCAGTCTGGCTTGGGTACTAGGCTCTGGCTCCTGCTAGCCCTGCCTGTAAGCAGCCCTTTGCTCAGGGAGATCCGAGCTGCTGCTTAGTGATGTTCAGCCCCCGGGGAAGAAAATTTCCTTTGTGTACGATTGCTCTTGGTTCTGTGTTGTCTGCTCTGACGCTGGGGACTGCGACGTGCAGGATGCGTAACCTGGAAGAATTGAAGGTGAAGCCATCGTTGGGATGGCGGGCAGCCAGGAGCGCAGCCACCCCACCCTAGAAGAACTCGTAGCCTTTGGGATGCCAGGCGCACACCACCCGTCCTGCAGCTCCTGCCACGGACGTGCTTGCAGCCCCACAAGTCCCTGGGGTAACTTCCTAAAGTGCCGGAGAAGTTGGTGGGCTGGGCAGGGCTGGACTGTGCGGTGGGGGCAGCCGCTGCTTCTATGGTGCATAAGCATCTTGATGATCAAGGCATGATGCATCCCTTCATGACGGGAGCATCTTTGGCCAGCTCCAGTGCGTGATGCCGCCCGGTCTTCAAGATGGGTTGTGGATTTGTACACCCTGGTGATGTGGCATTTTGGAGGGCTTGTGGGACAGCCTGGAGGTTGGTCGTGACTCCTCTCTAAAGCAGACTTCATGTGCCTATTCTGTCCTTTGGGACACAGGCATGTGGAGAGAAGCGATAGGGTGGGATGTGGAACCCCAGTCTCTCACAAGAAACAAGCAGGTCAAAAACAGCTGACAACCTGAGTATTTAAATCTCGGTAGGTTTGAAGAGCTGGTGCCCAGGAGTATTAAAAGAATCAACTTGAGTCTCTGATCTGGTGATCTGAGTATCTGATGATTTTAAAGGAATGGGGGAAAAGTAAATATTCTTCTAATATTTAGAAGAAATCAGGTGGGATAATCGGAGACCAGCAGGTCAGGTGTGTTTATATGGACCTGGGCACATTCTTCAGAAAGGCAGTCAGTTGCTTATTATTCAGTGTGATCTTTATGCAAAATAAAATTTGAGTGGGTTTGGTTTTTTATTTAAAAAAAATTATCAGAAACAATTTTGAAATTAACTGAGAAATTTGATGGAGAAGGGTGAGCATGTGGTTACAACAGACTTCTGCGAGAGCTTTTTGCTCATCCTGCATGATCTTCTGATTTAAGGAGGTATGTGCAAAATGCAGGTCCACAAGCTTCCTCTTGGTTGGGCCGGGAAAGCTCTCTTTCCTACAGGAGTTTGGAATGTGAGCTTTGCTCAGGTTTGGGGTAAAGGTGCAAAGTTTTCTACGAGATCAGTTGTGCAGCCCTATATATATATAAAAAAATAATTGTACGGAGACATGTCTAAATATAAAATGTATATATGTATAAAATGTCTATATAATGTCTTTTAAGACAAACT